TCGTCTTGACCGACGGTCCAGGTCTTCGAGGACCTTAAGAACGCCTCCGGGGAACCCGAAGGGTCGTTGGACCCCCATTGGAGAATCACTGGCCTAATGTGTTGAAACATTTATGGTGCCACGATGAAATGAAATTTTCCGGTAAAAACATGGGTCCTGCTCGTTGAGTCCTTTCATCGCCTTCTCTGACAGGGTCTCAGGAAACGGAAATCTCTCGTGTGTTTTGTTTCCGTTTTCAAAACAGGCTCAAGTCCGACCGCGCCGAGTCTGCGCTGTTCATGATGGACGCATTTCTTTTTATTTGTTTTGCGGATTTGAATCATCCGCAGAAGGGGCAGAGAGAAAGGCACGATGCCTGCCAGCGCCTCTGCCCCCTGCAGTTCATACAGCGGAAATAACATTTCAAACGAGTCACAGTGATAATAAATAACGAGACTGCCATCGTCATAAAAACAAATAGAAACAATTATTATAGAAATATCTGAAGACACATAAAAAACAATGACTCAACTCAAACAACTACACAAGCGGCACAGCTTAAACAATATGGGGCGATATGTTTTTCATAACCCGGAAGTAAAATAAAATTAAAATAAAGATAAAGAAAAAAATAAACCCCGGTTTTTTTACATATCTACTAAAATGTATAAACTTATAAAAGAAAGCGGAAACAAGCTAAATCAAAACCAAAAATCAGGCTACAAAGCCAAAAAATGAGAATTCCGAAGTTTCTTATACCTTAGGCTTCATTGAAAATAAATATAAAGAGATATACATGCCTTATATAGATGAAAATGCGATATCACTACAAACCAGAGCTCGTCTGCAGTATTTTTTGAACTTTGGAAAAGGGGAACTGAAATTAACCTCAATGCCGGGGGAACTTAATAATTTAGTACTCATGTACGATAAAATTTGCCTCCCATAATTTGTCCGTATGCTTGAGATTCTACGTTTCGGGTCTCGTAATGTGTAGGCACTAGAAGGAGGTGTCTGTGTCACTTTGAAGTTGGTGGGCGGCCACTTCTGGAGCGCCTCACTTCTAATTACTGGCTGCGCCTAGTGGCCTTTGGGACGGCAAGTTCGGCCGTGGACACCATTTAGCCTCTCGCGATTTGTTGGCTCGTGCCGGTAAAAATACCCAATTCGGAAGTTCTTGTTCAGGTCGTCATACACTATGCCAACTAGGTGCTTCCTCGACTACGTAACGCAACGAAGCGTCGCAAATGCAGTCGTCTGTAGGATGTTATCGCATAATCATCAGGCGTGGCGCCAAAAACACACGTGTACTTGACGGAATGCGTGACGTTATATAACCTTACGATGAATTAGCGCCATTTCACAAGGAACTGCGTAAAGAGCTCAGAAATGGCTACATATGAGTGGGATTCAAGTAGTGGCTCCGCTAGCAGTCGACGCAGTTGTCCCTGCCGCCAACCCGGAACATTGAGGCGTTCGTCTTCCGCACTTGTTCGACCACCCGCAAGTTGCCGGCGCTATTTTCCTTCTCGTTGCGTACAAACCCCATCTTCCAAGTGGACAGACACAGCCCTACGGATGTCAAGAGGTTTTCTTGGGGTGGATCGGTAGCCGAGTCGGCTAGAGCACAGCAGCTCGGAGCATGTGGAGCGAATGCTCGCGCGGCAGAACCCAGGGATCCTGGGTTCAGTCCCCGCCCCTGCCCGTTTCGATCTGGAAGAGCATCGTACCGGCGTGCGGTCGTGTATCACTACTGCGTGATGCACGTTAAAGAACCTTGGCTATGGTGGGGGCATTGCCCTAGCTAAAGTTATCATCTACAGCTGAAACACCAGACGCCCATTTGTGGCTAACTTCCGGCTCTATAAACATACACACAAGTAACAAGTTTGTGTTCTTTGTTGCCCAAAGAAATCTACCAGCTGCGCACATCTCATCTTTTGACGACTCTCGATATCTTCGCCATTTTGAAAATGTCGCTGCGCATGCGTTCCGTTTAACTGGATGGATGGATGCATGGCGGCTGTTGGCGAAGTGCGATAGTCCTGCAGTAGTCGCGTGAGATATAAATTTTTTATACAGAAAAGCTGTTTATGGCTAGGGTTCCGTGGATTGTTCGTGTGCTTGACCGTAAACTCTACGCTCGCACATAGCCTCCCATATACTGACCAAGCCTGGCAGATCGCCACAAGAAGCGGCCGCCGAAACGGAAAAGGTGGAGCGGCAGACAACGAATGAGAGGAGAGCCACGTGACTGGCGCCCCCCTGCGGCGAAACGCCGAAACACACTTCTCCCGAACGAACAAGTGTGTCTCGGGTCCTCGCCACTGCAAAAGCTGTGCGCTGACGTCCAGGTTCCCCGAGCAATGGCTCTTTGATGCTCTCTGCTACCAGATCCTCGCGCTCCAACTCTGCGACCGGGCACCCTGGCTCCGTCGCCGAACTGCCAGGCTTTGTGAGTATAGAGGAGGCTATGGCTCGCACCGCACCCACGCGGCGCACGTGCCGGCGTGGGAGCGGCGCGTGCGAGCGTCCCAATTTTATGTTAAGCTTCTGCATTTATTTATTTATTTATCCGAAGGGCCCTTTCGGGCATTACATAGGGGGGAACTTTTAACACCAATAATAGAAATAATAAAAACAATGAACAGATAGCCCTAACACACTACGAGCAAGGAAAAGAAAAAAGAAAAAAAAAGCCACGAAGAAACAATTCAAAGTTGTCATGGCGAAGCAAAGCATAGAGAGTGACAATGACTTAGGCTTTGTCTGAGATAAAAGAAATCAAGAAGCCTAAAAAAGCTTGGTAATCCTGTATGACTGCAATGTTACTTGGTAAGGCGTTCCATTCATTAATTGCGAGGTTCAGCGGGGAGTATTTGTATAAGTTAGTACGTGCAAATACTGAATTTACTTTGTTAGAATGATCAAAGCGGGGGAAAATGCGGGTAGCGGACACAATGTGCGTTTGACGGAAAGATAATGAACTATGGTAGATTTTATGAAATAATGAAAAACGTGCGATTCGCCTTCTGGTCGCGAGGGGCATTAAATCTAAGGATTCTTTGATACGGGTGATGCTACTAGTAGGAGAGTAATCGCCTGCTATAAACCGGGCTGCTTTATTTTGTTGTAACTCCAGACTGTTATTTAAGTAAGCTTGGTGTGGATTCCATATCACTGAGGTCTATTCCAGTTTGCTTCTTACAAGGGATGTATATGCCATAAGTTTCGTGTGTTAGTGACATAGTGTTTGTTGAAACATGGCGCGCACACCTGTAACGTCATAACAGTAAAAGTTTTAATTAAAAAAAATATAAAGTAACGTAAAATGAACGTATTACTTTTGAACTGTAATAGTAATACGCTTTTTTGGGGGACTTTTAGCAAACAGTTACCGTGTTCCGCGTATCGTACTACCGGAGCCTTTGAAGCATGCTTTGAAGAGCGCGCCCAGGTAATTCCGGGACAGCGGGGCGCGCACTTAAAAGTAGGCTTCGAAGGCTCCGGCAGTGCGGTACGCAGAACAAGGTAACGGTTTGCTAAAAGGTCCTGCTAGAGAGTTTTAGGGCATTGTTTTTGCACAAACGATAAGATACGACCGGCACTCCGGTACCGACTGCGTATCCGCGAAGTCACTGCTGGCTTACCGTAGTCCAGTGTCCGGACCGTAAGCTGTGATCGTGTTGTCAAAGCAGCTGGTATCAGAAGCGTCTCGACTCGATTATAGAACGGCTGTTTCGCTGTGCGAAGAGTCTTGCCGAAGTTTCAAACCTAAATGAAAGCATCCGTGGTTTTTTCTGTGGACTTTTTCTAAGTTTTTTTCGCGGAATAAAGTAAATATGAACTCATCGTTAAAGAGTTTTAGCGCCACCATTGCCCCGAGGATCGTCTGCTCGTTTAGCAGGTGAACTGTCCATTCACGGTGGGGACGCCGCCGCCACATTTGGCGCTCACATTCTAGCAAAACGAGACAAAACATGGCTAGTTCCGAAAATTGGGCTTCAGGCTATATCTGAAAAGGGAAATGTTTTTCTTTCAGTTCAGTGAAATTACCAAACATTTCTCCCCAAAAAAAGCTTGCCCCCATTTAGCCGTTTTGGAAAACCATTGCGCATTTCCGTTGCCAGGGGGCGCGACCTGCACCGATCGTCTTCGAACACTGTTCTCTAAAATCCGTTTAATGTAAAACACTCGGTCCTATCTCCCGATCTCGATCGTTTGGTCTATCGTTCGTGTTATATTCCGGTTCCCCGGAGCTCTCTATTATCTTGGGGTAGCGCTGGTCGGTAACGCGTTCTTTTTATTTCCATGTAACAAATAAGGTGTTTCGTTACTATTTTGGCAGTCTGATATTTTAGAGTTTAGACCCATGTTACAAATTTAAAAAAAAAAAAAAATTAAAAAACAGGGCGCGGAATAGCCAAAAGAACACACTTTTCGTGTAAGGCTCGTCAAATTATCAGGCGCTGGAGAAAACCAGCCTTCTGTGTAAAGTGCTTCTTTCGAACTCTTTTTGTTCGCGTTCCGCCCTTTGCAAAGCATGCGGGAAGCGCCTCAGCACGCACCTCGTACGCTGCGCCGTCACCATGACAACGAAGGCCGAATGACCTTTTGCGGACGGCGCGTGTGCGCGATGAATGGGTGCGATGGGAGCGAGGGCTGCCTTCATTGTTATGCGGCGCTGAGATGCCTTACTTCGTCAACGGGGCGATCGAAACCGCGCCACTCCCCTCCATGACCAACCGGGCGCCATAATGCAACGCGCGCGGAGTTGCATGCGGCGATTTGCGGAAGCAGTCTCTTCGGAAGGGGTGTGTGCGAACAGCCTCCCGAATATCTCTTTCCGCGTTCCCATCAGCGTTCAGACCACGGTGACGTTGGCTGCTGCCGTCTGTTCTGCAATTCAGAGCGCGAGTAAAACGGGAACAAAATGCACGAAACAATGTTTTTATTCTGCCGCCAACCCAAGATCACCAGATCTCGGTAAAGTGCGCGGAGCAAGCTCGGATCTGCGGTCGTTGTTTGCTCACGTTTTATTCGTATATACATGTTAGCATCCAGCACCAAACCTACAACATAGCCACTTCTTGCATTCCACGATGTTTATTGGTCCATAGATTCAACTGCCAGGCGCGGGAAAAAGCGCGCTTCGTTTTCACCTAGCGCGAGGTCTGAGCTGCGGACTGCATTATTCCAGCTGACCCGGCGTGCCGTACATTCTTGCGTGAACTGCAGGCCTTTCGAACGCCTCCAGCACACGCCCCATGCCTTCCGCCGTGCTTTGGCTGCGCCCGCACGCTCCGTGTGCGAGAGAAGCCTCATCGAAGCCTCACTATGATGTCTTGAGTATGAGTTAATCGAGAGGAATGTGAAGCTCAACTTTCGAGAGTTAACTCCGAGCTTCCACTGTGTTTTTACGCGCACCATCGGAATAGTCCTTGGCAATTGATGATCCTGGTCGTGACGTCACAGAGAGGAAGAGGGAGTCTCGTCTTCACTAGAAGCTGGGAGTAACTTTCAAAGCCGAGTGTTCCTGGCTATAAGCGGCTCCCCTGTCCGCTATTAGAGAGCTTCGCAAAAATCGCCTTGTGCGCCCTGCCATCTTTGTGGAACGCCTTCTGAGCATGCGCTGTTCATCTTTTGTGCGGAATATCGGACGCTGCGTATACGTCCCCAGCTCAGTGACTAAGCATTTTTCCCCGGGTGATAAGCGATGCAGAGGTCTATACACAGCCCATCGCTCAGATTTCAAGCTCAGCACGCGCGAGCTTCGTTCCCTCGGAATAGACACGCGGGCTGAATTTCGAGCACTTGAGTGAAGCCGCTCGGAGGATCAGAAGGGCGTGTGTGCCTCCTTGCCTTCCGCCGTGCATTGGTCTCCACGCCCGAAGCTCACGAGACGCCGAAACGTTATCGGAGCTGCTGGACGACCCGAAAGACCTCCCTGACCTTCCCGCCCCCGACTACGGACGCTGGTGAGCGGGCTGATCGGGCCGCTGCCCTCTTTCCGCTCGCGAAAGAACGCGTCAGATTGCCGCCAAAGTTCCTCTCCCGTGCAGGCTGTGCGCACTTGCACGCATGGCGCCAGGGCTGGACGCCATAGTGCTTCGCGAACACGAGCGCGTCGAAGGATGAACGTGTCCAAATGATCGGTGCTACATGTTGTGCGCAGTGCTGCAGCGACGGTAAAGGCGCTTCTGCGTAGAGCTCTGCAGTACGCCTTCTTCGCGCTCGGAAGGCATCTTCACGGGTTAAAGGGACACTGACGAGGTATTTATGCTCGCCAAGGTTTTTATCTCTACGTGACATATGACAGCCCAACTACCCAGAACACAGCTTGCAGCTCCAAATTCGTTTTCTTTCCGCCCGAAAGCAGCCGATCGAGAACTGGCCGGCTTGAGTCGCGCTCACTCTCTTCTCCGTGATCACGTGCCGTTTTCTATGGTTTAGACACAACCTCCAAAGATAATCAAAGTCGTGGGCACACACTCAATACTAAAAATAGGCTACAAATATGACACCCGTTTTTGTGGCTTCTGAGAAGTTGCAAATACGTTGATTAAAACGAAAAAGAAAGTTGCACAGCCACGTGGTTTCCGGTAACTTTATCCTCCTCTATATTTCTTCTTGCTCCCAAGACCAGTTTTGGTTTCGGTTTCGAGCAATTGCGGTTTTTGCTTCACTAAAATTATACGTGACGCTGTAGCGAAATATTGATTGGGTAGTCTTCTGACGCCATAATGAATCGCCTAGCAAAAAGAAACAATTTCTGGGGGGTGCCAGTGTCCCTTTAAGGCTCGTTCACAGAGTTGCGTTCGAGTGCGACTGCAACCACTGGCGCGCTTCGTTAAAGGGCGATTCCGAATGGAACTGCAAAGGCGTACGGGTTGCTATGGCGACACCTAGGACGAGCCAATGGGGAGGCACGGCACGACGCAACGCAGTGCAACGCGATCGACGCAAATGTGTGAACCAGGCGCGACAGCACTGCGCACATCGCGAGACCTTCGAGCGCCTTGAGAGAAAGAGACGTGAACCAAAGCATTCGGGCTGACCGAGTGGCGCCCCGAGCAGAGCCCACTTTCCCAGGGAAGCGCCTGTACGCGTGAACGGGTACTTCAGTGGCCTCGGGCAGTGACTGGATGCGTGCGCCGCCGATGCGAGGCCACTGTCGCCACGGGAAGCGGCGGCTCTCGCGGGGGTCGACGCCCGCTTAGGCCACCTGGACAGACACCGGGAATTAGTCAGACCCCCTGCCACTCCGACCGTGCGACGCCGGAGAAGGGAGCCACGCGCGCAGACGGCAGAGCCCGGAGAGAGTTCTCCGAAGGCGCCCGGAAGAAGCCCGTGTCCGTGCCTCCCCAAACAGATCGCGCGGGCGCTCTGGAGACTCGCGCTGTCGGAGCTTGCGCGCTACAATCTTCCGGGGCAGTCGGGTCCGGCGCTTGAAAGGAAATATCCCGAAATCCGAAGAACCGGGCCTGGGCGAGATCCTTCGGATGTGTTAGGAACGAGGGTGGGCACATGGTCCATCCGGGGGAACTTGAGCGGCTGCCCCGTGAACCGCACTGAGCCCGCCTAGGACTTCCAGTCCTTGTTGGGGTATTGCGGCGGCGTCTTGACCTCGTAGACCTCGTCCTCGGACGAGTGGTGACTGGCGTGGAACTCCGGCTCGTGGTGGTGGTGGTCCACGTGCACCAGCTTGGGCTTGTGGTGCAGCCGCAGGTGGTGCAGCGGTAGGTGCCCGTGCTTGCCCAGGTGCACCGTGATGCCGATCCTCGGCAGCTTGGGCAGCAGCAGGTGCAACAGCTTCGGCTTGTGGATCGGGATCGGAATGGGCAGCGGCAGCGGCAGCGGCACCGGGATCAGCTTCAGGCTGCGGAGAGACCAAACTGTTCAGACTCGCGCCCAGAGGGCCTCTGGGACGGTCGCACTGAGCGGAAGATCGCCCCCGCATTCACCATGCCAAGGCGGCTCTAACGCAGAAATACTTAGGGATGCTGGCATCCAGCCCGTTTCGATCTGGATAAACGTCGCATGTTCGTGTAGCGCGTGATGCGCGTCAAGATAGCGCTGGCTAAGTAGTTTTAATGCGAAAGCATTAACTGTCCCGTGTTCACGTACAGCGGAGGCACCAGACGCCCACTGAGGTCCTCGTCGCTGTCGAAGCAAACACGCAACGTCGTGATCTCTGTTGAGACCGTTCTGCAACACTGGCTCTATTCTGTCCTGACGTTCGAGAAACCCCTCGACGAGGGTGGAGAAGTATCTCGTCTCTCTTTGTGCTCTTGAAGATACTTGAGGGAACATTTTGGAGTGAAACACATATTCGGATTAGGGGATTTCGGGGCCCTGATCTAAGGTTGCTTCTGAGGCTGTCGTGATAATGATGCTGGTAATATAGACGACAAGGATGATGATAATGACGATAATGATGCTATGACTGATAAACGCAGCACATTTTGGGAAGCCTAAGTTACTTTTTTTTAAATTTTCCCCTTTTTAGCCACTTCTCCGGGGAATGTTACCGCTAAAAAAGCGGCCGAATCCCGCAATCACTTCGTAAATTACTCTTTCTAGGCGAACGGATAAATCTACTGACCGCCACGACTTGCCTTTGTAGCACTTTCCAGAAAGCGCTCTGGATTACAAAGTGCCCAGCTCAATCTTGGCCACACTAGCCCGTATCAGTAGAGCGAGCTAGCCACACGACGACGGAATGTCAATTGTCTGTACGACGCTATCTTTATGGGTTCTTGTCTTCCCTTCCGCCCCCTTCCAGGCCCAAACCCCGCGGGTCACAAAGGACTCGGACTGCTTGGGACCGCGCACATTATGCGCACGAAACAAAACACAGAAGCCTTCACATTAGCGGCCTTTCTGACAAATGAGGTATAGACTGTCTCTCAGAAGGAAAGCCTTCCGATCAATTCGTGTTTTCGTTGGCCGCGTTTCCCCCTCCACTAAGGTCTCCGCAGCGAAGAAGCCGCTACTGCGCCTGCGCGCCGATGGTATTTGGTGGCGCGACGGGGAAAGCGATCTACGAAAACTCTGTAATATAGCGAGTATTGCGGTCCCTTCTCGGTGCACTGTCTTCGAAATCTGTCAGCTACAACGGCAGGCCACTTGCCGGATCGCTTTCAACGCGGAGGGGTCCTACGAGCTCAGTGGTTGCGGAGACAATTCCAGGCGCTCGTTAGAACGATCAAAAATGTTTACATATATAAATAAAGCAAAATTTTGCGTAAGTGCAGCGCACCCTTCTCACCCTCACGCTGCTATTTTGTTTTGTTACCTCGCTTTTTGCCTCCCTTTGTTTCGCGTGGTACCCACTGTATAAGCTGGGGGTTGCCACTACCTTGAGGCGTCGTTGGGGCACTTGGTACAGATATTGGGGAGTTTTAGTAGATCGTTTTCATATGCCCGCTACCGCTATATATAGGGCGCGCGCTTCAGAGCATGCATCGAAGTGGCAGCGCGAGCTCCCGCTACGAATAGCGTGGCCTGAAAACATCATCTACTAACCGCCAAATTCAGAAACCTCACTCAAACTACGCTCAAACTGAAGGGCCCCTCCACTTCCTCGAGGGAGGCGCGAGGGCCGGCGCTGGCCAATCGCGACGGCGGATCCGTCCTCGCGATTGGCCAGCGCCGGCCCTCGCGCCTTCCTCGAGGAAGTGGAGGGGCCCTTCGGTTTCAGTGTAGTTTGAGCGAGGTTTCTGAATTCGGCGGTAAAGCTCTCTGTGCCCCACGTTGCAACGTCACGAGCAGGACAAGCGGGACGCCCCGATGCGAGAAATCCGTGGTCGTGGCACCGCACGAGGCATCGGGCGCTCCACGGCTCCGGGACATACAGACACATACACCCCGACGCACAAACAGACAGACACGAAATAAAACACAATTTGTTCCGCTATTTATGTCGACATTTGATCACTACTCGCGCTGCGATTAAGGGCGGACGGACACTCCGGTTTACTTTAGCTTGGAGCCCAGCGAAGGTTTCGGGCGCGAGGTCTAGATCGTCCAGCGGAAGCGCCTTGCAGGGCGAAACGCTTCTGTCCCGTTCACGGCTCTATTTCGGTCGTGCAGTTGTTCGGTTTTCAGCTGATGCGTCAGCACGAGAGAATCTGACTGGGAGGCGAAGAAGCGTCGGGTGAGCAAGAGCACACGTCCACGCAGCACTCCAGGTTCTCGCGTGAGCTGGGTCCTCCGCCGAGTGCCTACAGCCGTGGAACAACTTTACGACCTTGGCGATGGCCACAATGAACGCTCGAAGGAAATCAAACGGGAATCAGTTTCTCTGCAGTTTCGCTTTCTTGGCCTTTCTGCGCGTAAACATGTTTGCCACTCCTCCTTAGATCTCGCCTCATTTTTCCTTAAAAAAGTAAATGGCGAGGTGCGTGCGACGTCACCCTGATTGGACGGAGCCCTCTTTTCGAAACCAACCAAGCCCGGATTTCACGAAATTATTTGGTCCAGATACATTCCTGACCATTATTCGGATTTAGTCCGTCCCGCAAAACTAATTTGCGGAGGCTCATCGGCGGGCTTCGCTTCGCGTGGGGATCCGCTCAGGAATCGGTGAATGAGAGGAAGGAAGCGGCCCACACAGGGCCACCTCGACTCGGGGTCGGAGCCTCGCCGAGCCCCTGGCCGTTCCCGGACCGAGGGGCGCGCCGGTGGGCTTACCGGAGCACAGGGACGGACAGAGGGGGGACGCGGGGCGGGGGCGTTATGGCCTCACTGCGCCCACACGGGGGGACACCAGTCGGGGTCGTCGCAGCCGCTGCTCACGCTGACCAGGGCAACGCTCGTCGGGCAGCGGGCCGATCCTTCGGCGCAGCCGGACGACTCGGACGGGCTCGTGTCCGTCTCGGGCGTCGGCGTGGCCGGGATGGGCGGCAGCGTGGCCGGCACGTCCCAGGGCTGGTCGCTCATCATGCGGGGCGGCTCTCGCTTGGTCATCTGGCCGTTGCTCGGGGCCAGGTGCCGGAGCACGGCGTCGAAGTTGATCAGCTGTCCGACCAGGCCCTTGATGGCGTCCACGTTCACGAACTGCAGCAGCTTCTTCAAGTGCTCGTGGTCGCTGCGGGTCGCGGGTCGGGTTCAGAGCGGCACTGCCCGCGGGGCGGCATGCTTCTCGTGCTGGGGGCGGCATGCGGGGGGCGTTGAGACGACGTTCGTCGCCGCATGCGGGGCACGAGCGGGCGAAGCGGGGCCGAGCCCCGCGTCACCGGGTGAGCGCAGTCTTGGCATCTTAGGAAGCAGCTGGCCGCTCGTCGGTCCGGAACAGGAAGAGATCGGCGGGGAGAAAGCGGTCTATCTGCGGAAGGAGCGTGCTTTCCCGGCTATCGTCGAGTTTGCTTCCTCACCAGAGCGGAAGCGATAGCCCTTCCCGGGAAAACCGGAGCTCTAATTGGCCTCCGACGTGGTCGGCCAACGTCCCCCGGGGACGCACCCGAAGTTGCTGTCCGTGAACGGGGTCTCGCTTCGGTGGAGCTCCGATGGAGCGCGTGCGAGCAGGCAACGTGCGAGCAGGCAGCGTGCGGGGGACTCCGGGGAAAGGCGCCGCTCATGCATCGCTCGTCGGGGACCATGCTCTGCGCCCGTGCGCGTGCTCGGGATCTGGCCAAACGCGTCATGCGGCCAAACAAGAAGCGGCTGGCTCTGCCTAGTTTCATGGGCTCCGTGGAAAGTCCCACGGAGCGTTTGCTTGCGTTTTTCTTCCATTACGCCAACGAAACACTGGCTTTAATCCTTCTCATCGGAGCTGGACGTTTTTGACGGTCCCTCTCCTCTCCTCCTCAGCTTCTGAGGAGGACATACGCGTCAACATAATTGTGAAACAAAGGAACTCACTGATCCAACTGGGACGAGTCACTCCAGTAATAGAACCAAGTTACAGTTCGAGATAAGGTTTCATTGTAACTTAGGAGAAACTAAAATTGTAACAGATTACGGTAAATTTACCGGTGTAACTCTACATCCCTGGTTTGCGGTCCGGGACTGTGTCGCATATCGCGAACAATGTCCGTCTTTCTGCGGAGCAGAGTTTCCGGTACGCTCTCGGAAGAGCCCGGCGGCGCGCGTCGTCTGCACTCGGGGGCCCTTGCGGCCAGCCGGCGGCAGCTGGGGTCGGCGCCCAGGGCGTGAACCACGTCCCAGGGCCGACCCAGGGCTGACGCCGAGCGGGCGACGAGACGGCCCCCACGGAGGGGACGTCTCCTTCCTGCGTCCCCGCTCCGGATGGCTGTGCGCGGAAGGTATCCATTCTCGGGAGATTTTACCCGCTTCAGACCCTATCGAATATCCCGTAATACCGTACACCAAATAACTCTACGCGAAGCATCAGAACTGTTTTGTGTCGATGACGAACGCGCGGGTCAATTTCAGATTTGGCAAAGGTAGTTTACTATAGTTTTGTTTAACCCGAGACTGGGGTATTTCGGAAAAGGGACGAGAAGAAAAGAGGCCACAAGGAGGCGACGTCTCTACTACCCTGATTAGCCTGCCCGATGGAGCATCAATGGCATTGTTTTCTTCCAGTCGCGTTTAAGCTTTTCTTTTGTTTTTCTTAAAATGCCGATATTTCAATGGGTGTGGCGCGAAGCAGCCGTCAATACCGCGTGTTCTATGGATGCGGGATCGCACATTCCATGTCAATAATACTGATTTCACGTCACCCTCGGGCCGACTGCAGAACTCCTTCAATCATCCGGAATCAGATGGCATTGACATTTTCAACCCTAACCAACGTCATTTTAGGAAGTGCTTGCTTCACGTATTGGAATAATGTTCATGCTTTGCAACTATTCAATTCCTGTGTTTTTCCTTTAGAGGTGTGTGAGGCGACCATACTTTTCTTGTGTGCGTTTATATGCTATCTGAAATGTTACTAACAAGTGCACCAATGTATAGGCTTTGGCTGTTTTTGGGCACTCAAAATAAACTAACAAACAAATAAGTAGGATTCCGTTCCGTGTTTACCGAGTTTAATTATTTACTTTTTTTTTAAATTCGGAGGGTGAATTTTGGAATTTATTTTTCGCTCGAAATTTGGGGTTTATTGGAGTTTATTTCTGTTAGATTTCCAATTTTCCGAAATCCTAAGAATTTTCCGCCGTGTTCTTTACCAAAGTGCGAGCTGGGCTAGTTGGTGCAGGCTAGACATAGTGGAGGTAAAACAGCGCAGAACGACAAAGACTAGAAGGAAGGAATAAAGGAGAAAGAAAGGTTCTGCGCTGTTTTACCTACATTGTGTATACTGGTGTTCTTATTTTTTTCTTTTTTAATATCTGGACAAGTACGTTTACTAAATTTATGAAAATAATCGCCGGTATCGAAAGATATTTCTGCAGCTGCATTTGACATTGGCGCCCTTCCGATTGGCAGTACTAACTGTCCCTCGACAAATCTTGAAAACAAGTGTTACTCCAACAAACGTCGGCACTTTGAAGCAACCGAACTCTGGGACGCATTAAACCTTCAGCTGCCCTCCCCATTTTAGGATGTCTACAGGTTCAGATCTTTCACTGTTATTAAAAAACACAACCCCACCTCCCTAGAAGAAGCACAATTGTCCACAGTGGATTCTGGAACACTGGCCTTTTGTAGTGGACCGTGGTCCACAAGTACATTGGCTCATATTGTACGGAACAAACGTCGGCGAGATAATCGCGAAACTCCTTTTTGTCAGTAGTCTCAGATAAATAGATATAATATTAAAAACTGAAGCCTTTTCTCGGGACCGTTAGCCTTGCGCTTTGACGAACTTTATTCTTAAAACACCGTCTGTTTAGATTTTTTTTTATTTTTTTGCTAGCGTGAATTTTAAATTCGGACTTTTTTTTGATAACGTTTTATGCCAAAACTTTTACCGGCGAGTGTATTTCGGAGTTTATCAGATTTATCGGAAAACACGGAACCCTAGTTGTAAGAGATTGAATATTGTCTCGAACCATTTAGAACTGCGAAGTCGGATGGTAAAACTACTTAATTTTCAGATTTTTCGTCAAACTGGTCCCTCATAAGGTGTTATGGAATATGGGTGGTTCTGTTGTCGCTTCACTCCTGCCGAGAGAAACTAAAAATCATGGTCGCGCTTTCAGGGATGTTTAGGCTCTCAAAGAGGGGTGGTTCCTCGGGAGATGGCGAGGGGGCGACCGGGGCCAGCGGCGCCTCGAGGCGGGTACTCACTGCTTGAGCGGGTGTTTCTTGACCAGAATGAGCGGCAGGATGACGGCAGCCCGGGCTTGCATGGGGCCCGACTTGACCGCCAGGAAGACCAGCGTCAGGGCGGCCGCGCTCAGCACGGTGCTCGACCTCATTCTGCGAGAGACAGAGGGCGACCGATCTCGAAACTCCTTCCGTTCCAGTTGGGCCCGAGATCATATCGGACCGGAGTTCCGGCCACGATCGGCGCCTGCCCTCGGCCATTTCTCGCCTCACGCCGCGCAACGACCCGCAGCACGCTTCTTGGTGGCGGTCCAGCCGAACGCCGCGTTTTCCGCTCGCTTTAAAGGGCTACTCCACCGATTTTTTCATTGTCTCCGATTTGCTTGAAATTTTTCTAAACTAACCAACAAACATCGCAAAAATAGTATCCCAAATATTAGGTCAAAATATTGTTTTTTCGCGAAGTTATCGAATTTACAGTTTTGGTCCTCACCGTGTTTTTCAAGCTCGAAGTCTCTACTGGCAACAATGAAAAAGTGACGTCAGTGGAAGGCAGGGGTTCACTCTTTGGGCTGTAGATTTTGTTTTAAACTGATTCGAAGCAGTTTCATGGTGTCAAATGAATGCTTGGGAAGCTCGCTGCAGTACCCGTGCTCCAGCACGGAACAAATGATTGGCATATTCTATTTTTTGGCTGCTTGCTCGACTGGCAAGCCTGCCTGCCACTGACGTCACGGCCCTGAAAAGCGCGCGTATATTTGAATGTTGGTTTTTGCATCATTTTCATTTGCCCATTTTGCTATAACTATTATGAATTTCGCGATCCTAAATAGTATACCGGAGAGAGTAAAGGCTGGGGAGTCAGAAAATATAGTTAGTTGAGGTAGCTCAAAAAATCGGTGGAGTACCCCTTTAACGAAGCGACCCGCCGCAAAGAACCGCAGCACTGGCGTCCGTCGACCGCGAACCCGAGAGACGCTCTGACACCCAACGTGATGCCCTGCAGGGCTGCGCGGGAAGCTTTTTTTTTTTTTTATAAAACCCAGCGTGCCTCAGAAAAAGGAGAGAACAATCTTTCACCGCGAAATGGAACTACGCATCGGCGACCGCTCAGTGTGCACCAAGCGTAGCCGGTCAGGACCAGATGGCAAAGTTTCAGAACTACTGCAAGGTTCGGCGCACCGCTTTTCCTTCGTTTTCCTTCGAAGATGAGCAATGGCTTCGCCAGGCCGTGGGAAACGCCAGCACCGGCTGGATTCGACTGGATCGGGTTTCCTCTGCGAGCGTGCCCACCGTAGACTAGAGCTCTACGAGCGGGTGTTTATGTTTACGCACTGCTGCCCGCTATTGCATATTCGTGTGGCAAGGACGCCGAACTTGAGACGAGGTCATGTAAGCAAAGACGAGGTCCTGTCAGATTTAACATGGAGCGTTGTTGTCTACGCGTGTTGTTTTCTAAAGAGAGAGCTGCTCGAATGCCGGGCTATTTCAGAATTGCGTTGCTCCCAGCGGTACGTTCCCTTTTTTCTAGATCGCAGGCAAGTGTGTCGAGAGGACTCGTGCCATCGCTTTGAACGGAGATTGAGCCCGCACTGCCCGCGCTGCGCAGCACACGCAAAGTCCCTAGAGACGCTCTGCGCAGGCGCCAGATTACAGCCGCCATTGTTGACCTTCTCCCGTCTTACCAGATGACGAGCCAGTAAAGCGGGCTTCGACCAGCTTCCACAAAGGCCAACGCTGGGGGGAAGGACACGCTAGAATCTAAAATGACAATTACCTTCCTTGCTATGGTCACTAAGAAGTCGAGTGAACCGAATAAGAGGAAACAAAAATTGAAGGTCGGTTATGGCGCGCCCATGCCCGCGTGCAGCAAAGCGTCTTTAGTGGGTATTCGCTGGACGCCCTATTTGAGGGCTCTCTTTAGAGCGCTTGCTCAGAGGGAGCTCCCATTAATAGGCTGCTAAAAGCGGTGATCTTAATGGCGTGCAATGCACGTTGCAAAACAACCGTGGAAGATCGCCATCAGACCGTGCTCAGCAGTCGCGCACACTGTTACGGCCGCCAGGGAATACTCCCTGCAACGTTACTCGAACACTCAGCCAGGAAACTCACCCTCGAAACCAGGCACGCTGGTGTCCACAGAGACCAAACTAAATACGATAACAGGGCCACGCTTTAACGACGAGTTAAAAACATTAAAGTTGCTTTTTAGACGCTTTCAGCGCGCGCCAGATTGAGCCTCCATAGCCGACCTTCTCTTGCCTTACCAAGATGCCGAGCCACTGAAGCGGGCGTTGACGAGTCTCCACAAGGGCCTATGCTGGGGACAAGGACACAGCAGCACTTAAAATGACGATAACCTGTCCTGCTGTGGTAATGTTGAATTGGAGCGAACGGAATAAGAGGAAACTAAAACTGAAGATCGGTTATGGCGGCGCCCACGTACAGCTACCTGAATGCGTCTATATAGCTACTGCTAGAGTCACTGAATGTTCTTAGAGTACCGAAACACCTAGGCTCGAAACGCCAAAATGGCGGCTCAATCTTTTTTTTTTTTTTTTTATTGTCGTCATTATGGGTTTTAGAAAGCGCGTTTTTGCGTATGAACAAGCGGAAAAAGTCTTTTTTTGGAGGAAAGTTATTGGAGTTTAGTACAGAGTAACAGAAGCGTGCTGTTTTATTTACAAAAAAAAAAAAAAAAAAAAAACAGTTTACGAGGTTTAGGGGCTCAATTAATATTGTTTTTATACAACCATGTGTGAGCGCTGATTTCAGGTGGCGCGTCCCGACCTGGGCGCGTCCTAACTGAGGGGTGGCCGCTTGGGCGACGGGGGTTGGCAGCCAATTGCCATGGTGTTGCGTACGTGAAACGTTCTAGCATCAGAAACGTCTAGCGATACTCCGAGTTTCCGGACGCCTACGTTCACGGCGCATGGAAGATACTGCCGCTAATCGGGCTGCTAAACCTGGCGATCTTCCGGACTCTCAAACTCTTCTGCAGGTGGTCGAGCTCCTTGTCGCCTACCCCTCTGGTCAAACGACCTCCCTGTTAACCAATCAGCGTCGAGCACCTCACTCCTCCTCTCCCACTCGTTAACCAGTCGGTGTCGAGCCTCGCGGCCACGCTTTTATCCAGGCTTCATTTTTATCTGGGCTTCACGAAATAACAAAAACCTGGCCTAAAACGCTTCACGTTGAAAAAAGAATCAAACGGAGCAATATTCATATAGTCATATTCGCATCAAAAAATAATAACCTCAGATATAGTTTTTATATTGATTGGAGTCGTATATTGCTTTTCTTTAGTTAACTATTCTGGAAGGTTGTATTTTATCATTTGTTTTCCGTAACTTGTTTCGCAGGGAATGAATGTTCTAAAATATTGGTGCTACACGTGGGGTATGTGGCATGGTAACCCGGGAGCAGAAAAAAAATAATCATATTTTGAAACAGCGGAGCAGAGGTGGTCATATGAGAAGTTTTTTTTTATATCTCTTAGCATTTGTTTTTTGTAAATGCATTTTTTAAAATTATTCTGAGCGGTATTTCCTTACACTAAGTGTCAGTAATTTAGGCTGGGTGTTGTCTAGAAGAAGTTTGACTGTAGCAGGTAAAGTACGATGATATAGGCGGGTTAAGCCTACGACGCTCGAGAGTTTCGACGCGACGTAGTTTGTACGGTCGTCCAAAGTCACCCGTTCTGTGAATAACACACCGAGAGTTTTAAAGACGTTGACTATTTCTATTTTGGAGTATCGATACATATACTTTTGTTTCGGGGGCGAAGTAGAAAGGAATTTATTTTTTGCGTGTTTATATTTAACGCATTACACGTTGCCCATTTTTCCAGCTGCCAAAGGGTTCGTATCTGTAACTAGTTCCGAAGGTCATTTACCCGAAAAAGAATAATGTGGTGTCACTTGCTTAAGTAACTCATTTCGCAGTTTTCTCTGTGTTTATGTTATCGTTCAAATATCTATTAAATAAAAGCGGACCGATAACGCCTTTTGGGGTACACCCGATAAAATTGGTTTTATGCCGGAAGAATGACAATTTCATTGCAAAAATTGTTTTGGATGCGTAAGTGACGACGCCAAGAGCATCGAAACTTTTCCTCGAAAACCATACCTCCCATCGTGTCGTTTTACGCCCGAGACTGTGGCGCCGAGAAGGGAAACACTTTGAGTCGAAGGAACGGAAGGGAGCAAAATGATGAGCTACCACCATCTCGCCTGTGCACTAGTCTTTTTATACCTATCGCGTTTCTTCACTAATAGGTCATGATTTAAGCGATCGAAGGCTTTCGTAAAATCTACAAAAATACAAAGTTCAATCTTAGTTTGCGAACGAGTTTGAAATAAATTATTTCTGTTCCAATAGAGTGTGCTCGGTTGGCCGATGTTTCCGAAAACAATGTAGTGCTACACTAAGTATAGAATGCCTATCGCAGAAATTCGACAATCTGCAGAGTATGACCTTTTCCAATCTTTAAAAAAATGACAGGTTATATCGATACCGGATTCTCGTTTCTCATGTTTCTTTATATATATATATATATATATATATATATATATATATATATATATATATATATATATATATATATATATATATATATATATATATATATATATATATATTGTATATAAAACACTAACCTTTGCGGGCTGCATTCGCTTGGCGAATGCTCCTTCTGATAAGCAGGTGTTAAATATATAAGATAAACATTGCGATATCAAATCTAAAAGAGATTTCGACATCTTATAGACCCGGAGGTGGCAGCTTTTACTGTTATTCCATCCCAAAAACGCAGACGTCACCAAAATATCTACAACTGGGCTCAGAGATAAAGATTTGCGATCCCCCCCTCATATAACGAAAAGCATTACTGTCAAAATCGTCTCTATAGCTACGTGGACAAATTGCTTATTGAATTCATTAGCTAAGCAGCTCCCCGTCACTTCTTCGTTGTCTAAACAAATCACAATGACTCATTATGATTTGTTAGACCGGTTCAGCGCATGGTTTCATTTTTTTCCACTTAACATCAGTTTCATTTGCACACGTAGAGAAAAATGTTTAAAAAAAAAGTTCTCCTTTGCGTTTTTAATCTTTTTCGTTAGTTAGTTGCGATATGATTTGAAAGTTCTAAT